GTTATTAAGACCAACAACTATCGGAGACACATCCTAAAGGATGGCACCGTCGACATCTGTCGAGCTTGTCGCCATCCCGGTGAGTCACTTAGGCATGTTATCTCCGGTTGTTCGGCGCTTTCTAACTCTGAGTACTTGCACAGGCACAACCTAGTAGTCAGAATTCTACACCAGGAGCTCGCTCTGAAATACGGTCTCGTGGACCGGAAATTGCCGTATTACAAGTACTTGCCGGAAGCCGTGCTCGAAAATGATCGCGCCAGGCTCTATTGGGACCGGGCCATCATCACAGACAGGACTATTCTTGCGAATAAGCCTGATATTGTGCTGATGGATCGGGCACAGTCAAGGATATTTTTGGTCGACATTACCATTCCGTATGACGAGAACCTCGTGAAAGCCGAAACAGACAAGCAAACAAAATATCTGGACCTGGCTCACGAGGTGACCGACATGTGGGGTGGTCTGCCGACCGAAATTATTCCTGTAGTCGTCTCTGCAAACGGGCTAATCCCAGTCAGCCTCTCGGGTCATCTGAGGCGGCTGGGACTACGTGACGGACCGCTCCAGGTTCAAATGCAGAAGGCGGTGCTCCTCGATACCGCCCGCATCGTCCGCCGGTTTCTTTCCCTTTCCCCCTAACCCTCGGCCGTTTGGTCTCCCCTGCCGAGGGCCTCCATCTGGTTGGGCTTTTATTTATTTATGTACTTTTATATTTATTTTATGTTATTGATATTTATGTATATTTATCTTTTCATTTTCATTTATAATTATATATTTATAGAATCCAACCAGATGAGAAAACTATAGAGATACCTCATAATAATAATAATAATTTATTAAAAACTTTAACTTGTAGTACATATAAAAAAAAATCTTACATGAGATACATTACAAAAATACTAGTGAGAATGAGTGGACTTCAGTTTGTGGCGAATATTGCTTAATGTATTTGCTATATAAGTTTCAGGGATGTTCAATGCATAGTTTTACGAGTATATTTACAGGGAACACATTGTACAACGATATTTTAGTGGATGAGATGTTTCGCTCCTATTTTATAGATAATAAGTAATAAGATTTTGTATTTCGTAAATAAAAATTGTAACAAAATTAGGTAATGTATTTTATTGATGATTCAGATTACCGTTGCAGTTAGAAACAAAGGAGTATAATATAATAGCACTGATAATCCGACGCACGAATAGACAATGACGGTATTCAATGAACAATAGATAAATAACAATGGGGCGCTAATGACGGTGGAGGCCCTCACCGGATATCAATTAGATATTAGTTAATTGATCTGCACATCTCCGGAACCGTGCATCCTACGCAAAAACGGACCGCAGATTCGTGATCAGAGCATGCCAAAACCTTCTTTTTTTTAGGATCGTGAGTCGACGAACGTTGTACCACTTCTGACTCAGTGAACCAGAACTGGTACTAACTAACTACTGCCGTGTAGTGGCGGTTGAGAATATCCACTACCCCATATCTTCCCGTGGGTGTTGTAAGAGGCGACAGAGGGAGACAGGCAGGAGATGGGCAGCAGTATCTTCCTAATAACAACACTAATATAATTAAAAACTGTGGTTGCTAAGCCGCTTGCCAAGCGTGGCAACTATGGAAAATATACCCCCATGAGTAACGACGCAAACAAACGGCGCCCAGTCCCCGGCGGCCCCGCTATTCCTGGCTACGGTGGCGACCATGGTAACGGCGGGGCAGGGGGTGCTAATAATCTCCGGTGGAGGTTCGGTTGCCACCTACGACGACTCGACCTGGCAATATATAACGCAAGCTCCCTGAGGACGGACGAGAAGATACCGGAGTTGGAAGAAGAGGTAGACAAGTTGCGCTGGCATATTATTGGATTGTCCGAGGTCCGAAGGGAGGGAGAGGACACGGTAATCCTTGAGTCCGGCAACTTTTGATGATTATTGATTCGTGATCAGAGCATGCCAAAACTTTTTTTTTAGGATCGTGAGTTGACGAACGTTGTACCACTTCTGACTCAGTGAGCCAGAACTGGTACTAACTAAGTACTCACGGCACGGCGGCACTTTTTTAGGATAGTATTGGCCAAATGACTTCAAATTGATATAAAGAAATTATTAACTAATTTGAAAGATACTTTTGGTGTTTCAGCAATTTTACTTAATTCCACGGATGTATTTCTAGGTTGATTTAAATAACATACATCTTTTATTAATTTCCAAGTGTTTTTTGAATTCCCTAAGTTTCGTTTTAGTTCATTTTGATAATAATGCCTTTTTAACGATTTGATAATGTTTGTACATATTTTCCTACATTTTTTATATACTTCTCTTATTTCATCATTTTCGATTTTTAATTTTTTAAGTATTATGAAGCCTATCTCCCTTCCTAATAGATCTTATTACTTTTCTTATTTATTATTACCCCTGGGGTAATCCATGGTTTTAGCGGCTTGTTTCTTTTTTAAATATTGACAACTTTAATGTTAGTATTGATAACTTTCCTTAGAGTATTACTTAAAATATTTGTCGCTAAATTCACGCTAAATTTAGCGGCTATGCTTCTACACTCTACGCGTTAATCTAAATCTACCAAATTTAAATGCGTTAAAACTTTGTTTATGTTATCAAAAACTAATAGTACATTTTTGTTATTTGTGCTTCGTTTTACGAATTTCGCTTGTTTTACTTATAGAAGTATAGGACAGTGATCGGTTAATTCATCAAAAACAATAGTCTTAATTGCCTTTATGTCTTTTACCATAAAGTGATCTAAGCGCGCGTTTTTCCTCGTGGGTAAATTAACGCATTGCAACAGACCATGAAATAAGAGCATACTTATGTATTCACATGGGTTTTATAATATATATATATATATATATATATATATATATATATATATATATATATATATATATACATGTGTGTGTAAGTCTGAAGTGTAGAAGTTTTTTTTTTCATCAACTACCTGTTAATTGACCTACATAAACCAATGTCCCGTTATGAGTCAAAAATAAATGGTCACGTTAGGTAGGTATATACCAAAATAATACAAGGAATATGCTCAATTTACTTTGCTTATTTATTCAAAAATTTTGATGACCAAATATTCAAGAAGTGATTTTACTGGGCCTTTATATATCACACTGCTGCTTTCCTGACCCATGTTCATGAATGCTGTCTCGTATACTTCATATACGTAGGCGGTCCCATAATGAATTGGCCTAACTATGAACCAATGAAGGAAATGAAACAAAACCAATTTTATTTTTCAATATAATCACCATGAATACTAACACACTACTGACATCTGTGAATCAACATCTCTAAACCTTTATAAAAATAATCACATTTTTTATCCTCAAAATGACTGAAGACGGCCGCCTGCAACTCTTCATTGCTTGAAAATTTTCTTCCTCTTAAGTCCCGCTTTAAATTTGGAAATAAATAATAGTCGGACGAGGCCATGTCTGGACTGTAAAGTGGATGTTGAACTTCTGTGAACCGGCATTGACGAACTGCATCCTTCGAAACACCAGCGGTATGAACAGGGGCGTTGTCATGGAGCAACAGGACACCTTTAGACAGCTTGCCTCTTCGTTTTTCCTTGTCTCGTAATTTATATATTAAAGAAGCATAATATTCGCCGTTCACGACTGTATTACGTTCTTTAAAATCCACCATCAAAATGCCTTGAAAATCCCAAAATATTGTGCACATCAGTTTTTTAGTCGATTGTTGCACCTTTGCCTTTCTAGGGGGCTTCTCACCCTTATAACGCCATTCCATTTGACTCGCGCTTGCTTTGTGGATCATAATACAAGATCATAGTTTCATCACCAGTCACTAGCCGCTCGATCACAGTCTTTGGATTTTCGCCACAAAGATCCAAAAACTCCGAAGCGCAGCGAACTCTTTCCTGTCTCTGTACCGCTGAAAGAATTTTCGGTACCCATCTTGCACTCACTTTTTTCATGTGAAGATGTTCATGGATCACGCGATGAACGGTACTCTTAGAGAGCCCAAGCTTTGCTGCAATTTCTCTAATCTTCAAACGGCTGTCACTCAGAACCTCCTCTTCGATAAGATCAATCGTTTCGGGAGTGAGCACTTCCACAGGTAGACCGACGTGGCCAAAGTCTTCGACGGTTTCTCTCCCGAGGCGAAACTCTTTCAAACTTTTCACCAATTTTTCACTGTGCTATAGGAGGGGGCAGACTCCTTATACACGCCATCCAATCGTTCTTTTATTTGGGCAGGGTATAAACCTTCTTTAAAAATAAACTTTATGACACTTCGATACTCAGTTTTCGACATTTTGAAAAAATACGCGACTCTCGTTATTCAAATGCCTGTTAAACTAAGACTAAGCATTTCATGTCGATGCATGTTTCTTATATTAAGTGCACGATAAACGTACTATTTAATGCAACACAACATGTAGCAACATGTCGCGTTGAACTATATCAGGCCAGTTCATTATGGGAAGCTCAATGACAGAATTTTGCTTTGTCGGCAGTAATGCTTGAGAGTTGGATTGCATGTAAGGCATTTGTGAAGTAGATGGCTGAATGATGTTAGAGGACAGAGACAAGGAAAAGTGTTGAGTGGGAAGTGATTTATGGGTGCTTGGAGCAGTTGGTGAAGACTGAGATTGTTGAGTAAAAGAAACTGATCGGAGGGTGTTTTGAGGTAAAGGTGAAGACTGTTCTACGGATGAAGGTGAGGCAGACTGGCAAATAAATAGAGGTGATTGGTGAATTTGGTTCTGTAGTGAGGGTGAAAACTGCAGGACGTAAGAAGGTGAGGCAGATTTTCTAGTAAATGGAGGTGATTGGTATTTTTCTGGGGAGACGGTAAAAACTCAGGAGAAGAAATTTGTTGAGTGAGAGGAGAAGGTGATCGTTGGGTGCTCTGAGATGAGGATGAAGATAGACGTAAGCACAAAGGCGAGGTAGACTGTTCTCTTAAGTAAGGACAAGACATTCGGTGAATCAACAGTTAAGGTGATGGTGTTGATATTTCTGACATCCTACTTGAAGAAGCAGAAGATTCTGTCAGAGAATCCAGCCACCTCATATCTTTTTCATGGAAGAGTGTCATTATGTCAAATTTTAATTTAGGGAACTTCTTAACTGTTTTCGCCATTGTTTCAAAGAATAAATCAATGTCATCTTTTTCTGATTTACTCTTATTTCTTGCTTTCATATATTTAAGATATGTTCCTGATAATTAATGTCTTCGTTCGAGTCTTCATTTATTGTATCCGAATTTTAGTTTTCTTTTCTCTCACCGATATTAGATAAAGTGTTCTTATGCGTGATAAAAGGTAATAAAAATAACATCGCCTCTCCAAATTTCTCTTCTTCAAGTTTTTTACGCCTTGCCCTGTCACCGTTTTTTGTCTGCTTACAGCATGTACAAATGCATTTCGTAACAAGTTCCATTTTGCCTTGCATATCGAAGCTAAAAAGAAAAAAAGAGAAATTATTATCTTAAGGGGCTACTCTTAGCAAACGAGCGAACATTCGGTCTGCCTATGCTTCTACACTCCACGCGTTATCGCTACAATAAAATATCGCGCAAGAAATACGCCCAAATTTTAAATAATTTCCTTTATAAAATCGAATTTTAACTCTTTGAAAAAATTGAATAAAACAAAATGATTATTAATAAATTGCCTATCCATTGGTGTCAGTCGCAAAATAAAACAATGGGTACTTTATGAGGAAATGCATGTTATCAATAATTATTTCGCATTCCTGTGGTGTAGTTGTAGGGAGATTCATCAAATATTTACTCCTTTTAAAAAAAATGGATTTGGCTATAATGGCATCAAGATTATGTAGAAATTGAATACATTTTTCATTAGTTGATATATCTTTTTAATAACAAGCTACTTTTATTTTCAGGTTTTTAGCCACAGGAGAATCATTCAGATCGCTAGTTAGATAAATTTCATAACCTCAACTATTTGTAAACAATTTTATAAAACGGATAAATTATACTTAAAAACATATATATGAGATTACAGTTTATTTATTATGTAACATCAAAATACATATACATACCAGTTATCTCTGCTGTTCGACTGTAAACATCGTCTAAATTAGCGATGGGCGTTGAATCAACGAACGGTTTAAATAGACGGTCTACATTCTATCGACGCTTCGACGGTCTACAGTTCATTCGTTAACTAGTCGAATTCATAGACGGCTAAACTGAGAGTTCACAGCGTTCTTATTTACTGACAACACGACGACGACGCCGTAAACATACCCGGTTAACATATAAGTGCATGCGTTCGTTGAATTAGTATCATTGAACAAAACAATTTGAACCTTAAGTATATGATGTAGGAGTTGATATTTCTTTTTTAATAGAACTATTAGAGTGAAAAGGCAAGAGCATTCTGATATTGCGCGAAAGAGTATGTCGACGCACCGGCCAAACGATGCAGTGCAGGGTAAACGGGGTTATTATTGTTTACCTACCTATACTTTGTAGAAATTTGAAATTAGTGTGTCGACTCGCGCTCGCGTCGCAAGGTTAAAGTTACAGGAGTCGTGCGTGACTCGCTAATGCGAATTTAGGCGAACGAGACTAACGACAAGCAAAGTTGAGCAAATTATGTTCCTAAATGTAAATACACCTGAGGAGAGATTTAAAGGGTTTTAAATTCATTCATTAAATAATTTACACGATTCTTCTGTACACACATTGATAAATAAAAAAGGAAATAAAAATATTCATTAAAACACCTAATCCATAAAAATATGTAAATAAAAAATGTAAATAATTACATATGTACATAAAATCAGTTGATCTTCTAAATACGCCTGAAATACGATAGTAGTAAAATCTTTTCAAAGCGTATTCAGCCAATCCAAAGCCTAGAAAGGTATCAAGGGAAGTTTAAATTGATTGATTGTACAATTCGATAGTAGGTATTTCTACACCAGACAGAGTGATTTGTGCTCAAATCAAATTTCTTTGAATTTTTATCTAACTTTGCAGTTCATTCAACTGTCGCGAGTAGTGGGCAAAACTACTAGTTAAAATACTGTCGTCGTTGCGTTGCGCCCGTAGACACCACGCTTTAGTCGAATAAATGTCTGCTGTCATCGCGTTAACTAGTCGACGAATTCAACTAGTTGATCACCTAGTCGACGGACGGCAAAAGACGGTCTAGTATCGTTGACGAAAATTACGTCGACGACCCACCTCTAGTCTAAATCGGAAAGAAACTTTCCCGCTTGAAATTCAGCCATACACTCTTCAAATACTTTAAATATGACTTGTCAGGTACCGCCAGCGTTGCCAGATGCCTTGTACCTTTTATCTGTATTAGAAACTACCAAAATCTGTATTAAATCTGTATGCTATTTAAACTTAAAATCTGAATAAAATCTATATAATTAAATAAACCAAAATAGATAATTGATCATTATCATCATTGTTTCTTTTAAAAAACAAGGAATAACTACTAACGGGATAAGGTTTGACTATCGTTTTTAAATAAAAATATACACTAAAACTTTTATATAGCAAAATTGTGGTGATTAATTTAAACAAACAAGATATTCAAACTCAAACATATGCAACAAAGGAACTAATAATTACTTTATTTTCAGTCATATATATGTGAACGCAAGTAAGACGAAAGTGATGGTTTTTGAAAGAGAAGAAAGCAAAACGGTATGTGAAATAAGAATAGAAGGAGAGTTAATTGAGCAAGTGGATGAGTTTGTGTATTTGGGATGTGTATTTAGCAGGGATGGTAGATATGATAGGGATATAGAACGACGAGTAAATGCAGGGAATAGAGTGAATGGGGCACTACACTCTATTATGAAGAACCAGAATGTGTCAAAACAGGCACGTATGGTAATTCATAATGCTGTGTTAGTCCCTACGTTAATGTATGGTAGTGAAAGCTGGGTGTGGCAGAAGAAGCACGAAAGTAGAATAAATGCTGTAGAAATGCGTTCTTTAAGAAATATGCTAGGGTTTAATCTGAATGACAGGGTGAGAAATTGCGTGATAAGAGATAAATGTGGTATGCAAGATGATGTTGTGACCAGGATTAAGAAAGGAATGCTTCGGTGGTTTGGTCACGTAGAAAGAATGAATGATGAAAGAGTGACAAAGCAAATTTATATGGCAGATGTGAACGGCCGAGTCGGGAAGGGACGCCCTAGAAAAAAGTTTGTCGACCAAATTGGCGATATTTTGAAAATGGGCCACGTTAGAAGTACCCTTAACCGACGAGCATGTATGCGTAGATATATGGATGTAAAGGAGGCGAAAGAGGTATGTCAGGATCGTGCCAAATGGAAGTCCGTAATCTCTGCCTACCCCTCTGGGTGACAGGCGTGAGTGTTTATGTTTTTTGTTTTTTTTATATATGTTATATACTGGTGACCTTTTTTACCGTCTGGAAAAAAATATAGGGTGTAACATGTGAAAGGAGTAGAAGCCTATAGCACTGATATATTACAAAAAATAGATACAAAAATTTTGAATTAAATAAATAAATTAATTAAAATCTATCGAATTTCAAATCATACATATCCATCCTACTTTACGAACGGCAATTAAACAATAAATTTAGTAGGCATGTTTGACCTTGTCACTTAACAATTGGCAGAGTCACAGCTCAATGGCAAAGGGCAAAGCAATTGATCAAAAAACAATCGTTTAATTCAAAGTTTTAGTTTTTATTCCATAGGCTTCTACGCCGTTCACATGTTACACCCTATTTTTTTCCAGACGGTAAAAAAAGGTCATCCACTAAACATTTTTATAATACACAATGCTGCCATACTAACTAATTAAGTAGTGAAAAAAATAAATTAACTATAAAGAATTGAATCATGCAATGATGTGTGTAACGCGATATCTAGTCATATTTTGCTTTGTTCTGTGTTATGGTAGTCCAATCAATAGAATTAGAAAACTCTGTATAAAAATCTGTATCCCGTGATAATCTGTATTACACACCGAAAATCTGTATAAATACGGAGAAATCTGTATATATGGCAACACTGGGTACCGCTCTTATAAACACTGCGTTTCATTTTTCCTAAACAGTCATACGATAAGAAAAACTAGAAATATACCAAAAAATCTTAAAGTACATCACATAGATCATAGATAAATAAATATGTATGTCATAGATAAATAAATATGTAGCAAGCTAATGGGTGCGTTTGGCAGAAAAAAGCGCTAGCAAGCGCTTGTAAGCAAAATGGCGATCGTAAGCGGTAAGCGCTGTCAAATCGTAAGTAGCTATTTTCCTCCAGGACACGATGTTAGTTTTAACCGAGGAACCTAACCTAATTTAAATATATGTTTGTAAAGTATTCATATTAAAAACTTACCAATCATGAATTTTTAATAACATGTATATGTTTATTCACGTTATTATATTACTTAAAACTAATATTGCACAAAACAACTTATAAACTCTATTTCAAAACAAACAAATTAAATAAGCAAAATGGCGGATTGTGTCAGCGCTACTGAAGTAGTAATCGTGTCCTGGCCGAAAACTATTTCAGCGCTTGCTAAGTGCTTGCTAGCGCTTTTTTCTGCCAAACGCACCCATTGTATGTCAATTGTCAACTACATTATACAAAGCTACGATATGACAGCTGAGTTACTTACTTATTGTCCGTTCATCGTAACTTAACGTAGACAGAGAACTTGACGCGTAATCCGAATGGCAGCACTGTAATTACAGTGTTGCATGTTTCAATGTGAATAGGATTCCCGAAATGTAGGGACAGGCATTATGGATATGGTACTAATGACTTTACTTATGTGTATAATGACCATACTCATGTTTTAAGTGTCATAGTGTACTCTCTGAAACAATTCACATATCAATAGGAACATTCAGGATAAATTTATTCAGACATGTTTGAAAATTACGACACATCTTCTCGTCAGTTATACCTCAAACTCTGAAAACTAAAGTGTACAACCAGTGCGTGTTGCCAGTGATGACTTACGGATCAGAGACGTGGTCCTTCACTGCTGGCCGTATGAGGACGCTCAAGGTCGCTCAGCGAGCTATGGAGAGGGCTATGCTCGGAGTTTCTCTGCGTGATAGACTCAGAAATGAGGATATCCGCAGTAAAACCAGAGTGACCGACATAGCCCAACGAATTAGTAAGCTGAAGTGGCAATGGGCCGGCCATATA